TTGATGGTAGACTCAAATTATACCTATCAGGAGGACAAAACGTTGGTTCCTGACCTAGGCAATGACCTTTCAGAGGGATGAAGAACCTCCATGGGGATGCAAGACTGTGAGATGTTATTTTTATTTTCAATTTATTAATAGATTAATTGCTGTTGTTAAAAGGGGGTGGAAGAATGTCAAGGAAGAGTTTGGAGAAGCATGAGGGTTTTCTCAGAATCAGAAGGTGGGGATGATAGTGTATAGTGTGGGAACTAACGATACAGATCTACTGCTCCTGCGCTAGGAATGGACTGGTTATTGAAAAGCCAAAGAAAAGGGACAACCTCACTCTATAGAAGAATGTAATATCTGGCTCTTCTGAGAGACAAAAGAATCGAATGTTGCAAGAAAGAAAATTGTTTGCTCTCTCATCAAATGGCAGAGTGGCAGGTATTGTTGGACATTTCCCTTTAGGGTGACAATTAAAACAAGGAAGTTTTAATTAACCGCTCCTGTGGTAATGACTCACTCATATGGGAGCATACAAATGAGGAGGTTACTTAATCTTGATATGTTGACACAGAAAGCAAGATCAGAAGACAATGGAGACGAAAAGAATGGTGCAAAAACTGAAGATGAAGAGACTTGAAAACTCAGGGGAAAAATGTGAAATTTTAAGGAAATGTGGCCAGCAGCTTTGGGGACATTTTAATAACTTCAAGTATATCACACCAGCGAAAGCTAGGAATATAAAAGAGGGGGAAATAAATAAAAGCATAGGACGATAGAGCTGCCTTTTGCAAAAATAATTCTCCCAAACTAAGTTGCTATAGGGATGCTATTCTTGAACAGGATTATTGAACCACAGTGTTAGACTGTAGAAATGCAGGGAGATGAAAATAGGTTCTATAGGCACCTCAGCTGTTTCCCTGCTGGGGAAAGAATGATCTCATGCTGCAGCAGGGAAGACCTTTCATTAGATCTTCCTGCTAGTGAAAGCAAATTGTGCACATTATATGCTTTTCTATGTGCCATTGGTGAAGGACCCCAAGAGTGATAGATTCAAGATTTATTTATTTATAATTTCTCTCCTTCTTGCTATTTGTGCGATTTTAGCTATGATATATTTTTTTTAAAAAGTACTTACCTGAAGTATTGCTGACATATTTCTTCAGAGAAGGCTTAAATACGGTACATGTAATAAAAGAGAGAGAACAGCTTATAGCTATAGTTTAGGTACACAATCCCTTTCTGTCTTTGTTTCTACTGCCATTCAAAACTTGGATGGCTTTTGCAGCTTCCTATCGGAGGGTTCTTTTGTGTGGGACCAGTGTTGTAACTTGATGGAACTTTGGGTTCTTTTGTGTAAGGGAGAGATACAGATGGAGTGGCACAATATACAGACATAAAACAAAAGAACATTTTAAAAAATGAATCCATGAAAGCAGGTTCCTCCGGTCAGTTATCTAAACCTTCATTTCTTCAGCCTTGAAATTCAGAGCGATGCTCAAAGCGGTCTTTAGATAGAGACTGTAGGCGAACCTTCAACATACGTGGAAGCCGCAAAATGGATCTGTTTCTTGCAGTTCCATGAAGAAAACGAGCCGCCGTGTCCTGGAGAGATCCAGGCGTCTTCGTCAGAGCCCGTGTGAGGGCTTGGGTTTGTTTCACCCGTCATGTTTCAAGAGCCCCAAATGATGCTTCTTAAACAGGAGCCTTGAAAGTGCCCTGTAAGGAACTGAAAGCAATTTAAAAAAAGAATCGGATACACTCTTAGAAGCCACAAAAACAGAATTGCACGTGAAGACCTCACCAAGGTGTTGAGCCAGAATTGAGGTGGCAGGTTGACAAACAGCTACCTTGCCACTAAGAGTTGCCCCCAAGCCAATAGGCAGGGAAACGTCTGTACATGGGCAAAGATGTTGGAGTGTCCCTGTGTTTCAGGACATCCGTGTGGCCCATTGGGCTAAAAATGGTGTTGTACTTAGTTTTCTCTGGCTGGCATCTGATCTTGGCAGCTCTCCTCCTCCTGTCTGCCAGGGGTATGGAGCTTGTCTGGTTTTGCGGAGAAGTGCGAGGAAGGTTGATTCGGCATGCCGGGAAAGGCCTGTTCTCTGCATGCCAGCGTTGGGACCTTGTGGCTCGGCAGGGCAATGGAAGAAGCAGGGTTTGTGGAATTGTTTTGTCGAGGAAAGCCCACCAGAGCTATCAGTGACAGGCTGGGGAGCTTGTGTATGTGGACAAGAATGCAGGCTTTGTGAAAGATGGACGGCTGGCCCTCGGAGCAGTGGCACAACAGTGCTTGTTGTGCGTGCCTCTCGTGGGGACTTGTCTGCTTCTCCCTCCCTCCCTCTTTGCCTTTTGCAAAGCACCACTCCCTGAGGAACCGCCTCTGGAATGGAGCACCACGTGGTGATCTTGGGTTTCATTGTCTATCCCTTCTGTGCCCAGGCGGCTCTTGGTGGCACTCTCTGTGGGCAAGTCTGTCCTGTTTAGGGTGGGAAGAGAGGGATATAGTGCTTGGTGGCACTCTCTGTGGGCAAGTCTGTACTGTTTAGGGTGGGAAGAGAGGGATATATTATAGTTCTGAGAAGGTCACGCAAAGTCAAGTTAACTGGCACGGCCAGAACATCAGAGGTGAGCAGACTTTGGCCCTGCTTAATCTCTCTCTCTCTCTCTTTTTCTTTTTCAAAAAAAGAAAACCCAGACAAACTGGAATCTTGATAGTCTTTCACTGATTCATGTTTTGCCTTTATAAAGCAGACATATACAGACTGTGGATCACTTGACGTGCATTTGCTGTGCCTTAGCTGTGCGTGCATGTTCTGGCGGGATCAGTCCAAGATTGTTGCTGAATCGGGTCGTGGTCTGATCCAGTACCAATTGCTGCATGAAAGGCATTCAGGTTGTCCACCTGAAATTGGCCTGGGCTCCCCTTGGGAACCTTGCTTTTCTTTTGGTCACATCCCGGAATTATAACCCTTGGCTGAATTGCTGGATTTCAGGTTTCTTGCCTGATAATCTTCAATACCCATTTTGAACACCGGCGTGTTTAAAAGCCCACGTATATTGTCTACGAGAATCCAGAAGTGAACATGTCACTGGTTAGCTTGTAAGAGCGTCCCACTCCTGACTTCTTCCTTATAGAGAGGAGCATTCTGCTGGCCTCTCGGAGGGTAGAGGATTCCCCC